TCATGCAAAGCCAGAATAACATTAAAATCTCAGCACAATATCCACTTTAAAGATCATTTGGATCAAATATTGAAAAGCTTATTCGATAAACGGATCTTGCACCCTCTTTAGATTGTGCATACATGGTAGTGAGAATAAAAAAAAAATCATATTTATTGAGATAATGGATAGTAATAGATATCAATCATATAGTGAAGAACATCCAAAGAGCAAGATTCATCCATAAAAAAATATGACCAAGGTTTCCATTTGATTTAAGAGAAGCCCAATTTTTAATATAATTGCCTTCAATTGCTCTAAGAATGCTTGGTAGTAATGATCATGTTTGGTTTCTTGAATACAAACAATATCCAAAAGTTCCTTATATCCATCTTTACCCATACTTCTTTTTGACCATGGGCCTTAAGCCACAAACATTCAAAGTTTCAATATTCCTAAGTAAACAGAGTTTTGCTAAAAGATGATCTTTGAAAATCAAATTAAGCCTCTATATATGGAATAAAATCATCCAATTTCTGAACCCCATAAGAACTGGCCAAATACTAAAGGAAATCAACAGAAACATGTTCTGAAGGTGAAACATTAAATTTCGGCACAATACAATTCTTTTTCTAAGGTTACTACAGATAGTTTGGATGATAATTTTGTTATTGTCGAATATTTTGCAATTTTGATCTTGAAAACCTTAGAAATATTCGAAGAAGGAAAGAAAACTATATGCAAAGAAATCAACTTAGGACACAATACTTTGAATGTATTTCACGATTCCTATTTTTTGTCAGAAGATTTTGATATCAAAAGATTTTAACGTTGAAAAGTGTAGGAGTGAAAGAAATCATATTATTGGTAGACTTTCTGGAAGGTAAGGGCATGTTGTAATGAGGGTCCATAAGAATAAAATGAAGGGCCACAACAGAGAAAGTGTTTCCAGCTAAATGTGGGGTCACCACAGCAGAAAAAGATTTGTCAGGTAGAGTAATTCTAATAGGATTACCGGCTGGTGATGAAGAGCCAAATGCATGAACAGAGGCCATGTTTCCAGTGGGCTCAAGAACTCTGCACTGATTTTACTATAAGGGGAGCCAATTCAGAGACCTCAGAAGATATACTGCTTAGCATATTTGGCAGTCAGAGGATTTAAATCTAGAAGGAGCTTTGATCTATTAGGAACAACGTAAAATAGCCAATTCAAAATCCAAAATTGAATTTGAAACATATTGGACATTAAAGACAATCAAAATGATTAAATAATTGTCCATAATTTGAGAAAATCCATATGCTAAAAAAAAAAAAAGAAAAAGAAAAAAGAAAATCCATATGCTGAATTACTAAAGAAGACATCATTCTTAATCTAAGATTTCTGAGGTACTGCAATCATACAGGAAGAACTAGAGAAATGAAATGGAAGAGAGGAAAAAAAAATAGAAGAGTGATAATACTTGATTTCTATAATACCCGTGTCAATATTTTACCTTGTTATTATGTATTATCTGTTTGCCTGTGGACATTAGATTTCTTAAATCTTTATAGGAGAAATCAAGCCCTGCTGTCAGGTATTAACTGCCCATTTATAGACATTTGATTTTATAATACCCGTAGGAAAAATTAGATATTTGTTCTTAAATAATTGCATCTTCTCAATTATGAGAAAGGGAGAATTCTTGTATCACTTATTATATAGTAGATTTTTTAACTGGGTCAGATCTCTTGATTTTATACATTTTTCGGATTTTCTACTTAAAAAAATTTCTTATCTTATAACTTTTATCTGGGCGTGCTAAATTTTTGTACAACACAACATACACATTGTACTTACTCAAATTTTCTAGCATGTAACAATTATAAAGCCTTGAGCTTGATGTAACATTTTTTCACCAGAGATTTGAGAATTTTTGCGACAAAGAAATAATATATTTTGATAAATGTCATAGAAATAATCAATCTTCATTCCAGCGCCAATGAAGGGTTTTAAAAAGGTTACTCTCTTTTATTTTATTGTGCGAGAAAAAGAAATGCATAAGCTTCCAAAAAAATAAAGTTAACTTCATCTTTAGCTTGAAGAAAAGGGTTTGAGATCTCATTATTTCTAAGAGTAAAAGAACAAGATTTGGAAGTATGACCCAACTTATTGCATCTATGACAAATTGTGGAATTTCTATAATCTCTAGAAAGGGGACCCTTTCACAAACATTTGAAGCATCTGTGAAGAATGCTTAGCCCATGTAATTTTAGAGGAGTATTTGTCAGTTACAAATGATCTGCTTCATTTCCAGCCAAAGAAGGACGAAGGAATGCCGCAGACAGTCCTGTTCCTCCTGCACAATGCCTTTTTTCATGTTTTGCAGCCTTTCTTAGGATTGAAAGTTGAAGCTTAATGAGTATGAATATTTGGTATTAAAGCTCGTTCTTATTCCTTACCTATTAAGCTCATAAGTTTATGTTTCTTTATTTCTTAAAATTAGTGAATATAGGTCATTCCTAATTCAAGTTCAATGTAATTTCCTTTCTTTTCTTTATAAGTAAACCTGTCTTTAAATTTTGAGATATTTCTCATTAAAACTTAAGCAGGTATAAATTTCGCAGCTTATTTTTAAGGTTGCTTTGTTTATGTACATCTTTATTTAAATATAATTAACTCTTGGTGACTATAGATAGTTCTATCGAAGAGTTTTAGCTCAAGGATATGGTGACCTTCTCTAAAACTAAATATCCATTAGCTCCTTGCATAGAATTTAATTTGTAACTTACCTTTTGCATTTCTTATTTATAACTGGCATTGTATGTACTTATCTATTATTGGTCATGTGTTCTACGTTCAATTAGTAGAATATTTGGTGTAGATTTCTATCTTCAAAAAAGCTTTAAGTAACTTGTAAAGCTGAAGCTCTTTGGATGCAATGGAGGCAAATTCTGGCATTAGATGTGCTTTTATGACATTATCTTTATCATGGTTTTGAATTTTTTAAAATAAATGTTTGTAATTGATTTAGGGTCACTTCACATTTTCTTTGGGTTCTTTTGTTTGTTTTTTTTCATAAATTTTGTAATTTATTGCACATTTGGTGGTGGAATCCAAACATGCAAGAAAAGATTAAAAATAAGAAGTTTTGTTATAAAAATTGGTTTAATTTTAAAATTTTTGATAATTGGGAAATATATAAAGTGACTTGTAAGGATGCTAAGAAAGCAATATGCAATGCAAAGATATTGGCTTTTAGTGATTTATATAATAGATTAGATACTAAAGAGGAAGAAAGATATATGTATAAGTTAGCCAAACAAAGAGATAGGAGTAGTAAGGATTTAGTTCAAGTGAAGTGTATTAAGGATGAAGATCAAAAAAATCAATTTGGATTCATGTCGGGTAGGTCGATTATGGAAGCCATACATTTATTAAGAGGTTTGATGGAGAAATATAGAGAAAATAAGGATGATCTACATATGATATTTATTGATTTAGAAAAAGCATATGATAAAGTTCCAAGAGAAGTGCTATGGAGAGTTCTATATAAGAAAGGGGTTAATAATGCTTATATTCAAATCATTAAAGATATGTATGCAGGAGCTATTACTTGTGTTCAAACACAAGGTGGATTGACCAAGTATTTTCCTATTTCGGTTGGGTTACATCAAGGATCAGCCTTAAGCCCATATCTTTTTGCTTTAGTCATGGATGTTCTCACTAGACATTTGCAAGAGGATGTACCTTTGTGTATGCTTTTTGCTGATGATATTCTTCTTGTTGATAAGACTAGAGAGGGAGTTGAAGGTAAACTTGAATTATGGAGGTCAACCTTAGAGTCTAAAGGTTTTCTCTTGAGTAGATCTAAAACGGAATATATGGAGTGTAATTTTAGTAGTAATAGACCTAGTGAGGGGATTGTGACTTTGGGTGATCAAGTCATTAATAAGAGTACACGTTTTAGATATCTTGGATCTGTTGTTCAGAGTGATGGTGAAATAGATGGAGATATTATCAGCAGAATTCAAGTTGGATGGTTGAAGTGGAGGAATGCATCGGGCTTGTTATGTGATAGAAATGTATCCCTCAAACTTAAGGGAAAATTCTATAAGTTGGTAGTGAGGCCTGCAATGCTTTATGGTGCCGAATGTTGGCCATTAAAAGAGAAGCATAATACTAAGTTAAGTGTGGCAGAGATGAGGATGCTCAGGTGGATGAGTGGCTTTACCCTTAGAGATAGGATACGAAATGAGCATATACGTGAAAAGGTTGGAGTAGCTCCAGTAGAAGATAAGATTAGAGAGAGTCGCCTTAGATGGTTTGGTCACACAAAACGGCGGCCTTCCGATGACCCGGTTAGGAGAGTAGAGGTATTAGATTTGACTTATGTTAAGAAAGGTAGGGGTAGACCTAAAAAGACTTGGTTAGAAAATATTAGGAATGAGTCGAATGACCTTTCTTTATTAGATTTAAATGAGAATTTGACTTTTAATAGGACACAATGGAGAAAAAGGATTCATGTAGCCGACCCCACATAGTGGGATAAAGGCTTGATGTTGATGTTGTTGTTGTTGTGTTGTTGCTTCAGCTTGAAGATTGCAATAGAATACATCAATTTGCTTGTTTTAGATTTCGTTTGGGACGGCTTTTTATTGCTTCTTAAAACTACTTTCTAATTTAAAAATTAAATTTTTTATACTAGAAAGCTGCTTTAAGAAGCAGTAAGAAAGCCGTCCCAAACGAAGCCTTAGTATTGAAGCTTTGGTACATTTTTTTTTACTTATTTTATTTGCCATGGGACCACCCCGAATAAATCTCTGGTTTATGTATATGTATAAAACTTGTGAAAATTTCAGATAATTTGATTAATTTAGTTAGGTGATCCTTTTTTTTCACATACAAATACATTTGAATTTTTGAACTCTACAATCTCTTTTACTGTTTAAAAATTTTTTGTTAAGCATTAAAAATGTTGGAATTTTATATAAACTAGACTTGAGAATTTGATGATGTTGCATTTCATTTGCATGATTTTTAGGTAGTGGGCTTGGTCTATTCATGGGACTGTTTCTCGGTGCTTTGGACAATCCAATAATGCAAGAAGAAATGACCGGAAGGCAGCAATTTATATACACTGCAAAGCAGATGGGCAGGAGAAGCATTAATTCTGCCAAGGCATTTGCTGTCATGGGCTTGGTGTTTTCAGCGGCTGAATGTATTGTTGAGAAGGTAATTAAAGATAATTTGAAATTTGGAAATAACTTATCCTTTTTTAAATGTAGTTAATATTGATTGATTTTCTTTATCTCAAGGCACGGGCAAAACACGATACCACAAATATAGTCGTTGCTGGTTGTGTTACAGGAGGGACTATATCAGCTAGAGGTAAGTAACTCTCTTTTTTATCCAAAGCCATTTGATGTTAGCATCATGATTCAAATAATATGAGTTCTAAGTACGATAATATTTATTTTACTGAAATCCTTGTTTGACTCTATGGGCGATTTATTAAATATGGAGATATAGGAGTATGACATCTATTAGGCTATTAAGTAGTTCAACTATCTTAAGTAGCTGTCTTCTTTTGTATGGTTACTAATCTAAAATATTTTAAAAATTTTTGAGAATTTCCAAATACTTGTTAAACATATCAATTACCAATCCTATGACCAAGAGGTTATGGTGACTGCTTTAAATATGCATAATCATTAGCAAGATGAGGTTGTAACTTACAGGGATGATGAAATAAATGTACCAATCACCAATAAGGGTATTATAATGATGCAATATCAAGTATTTCATATCCTTTAAACAAAGCACAAAGTTGTGAATGCATCTTAGCACTAAGTAGATAGTTCAAATATTTAAGTAGCTTGAATCATAAACCATAATAATTTATTTCTCGGAGCATACAAAAAATCAAAGGCAAATTGTCAGTTACCCTTGGATTCTGTTAGACCGGTCCCGCATGAACCAGATCACGTGAAACAGAGGCCGACGTTTTCCGCCTATCTGTGCTGCCGACCGAACCACCGAATCCCATGGAGTGGTTTAGGAAAGATTTTTGAGGGATTTGAGAGAGAAATTTGAATGTAGGGAATGTTTAGAGATTTCCTTTTGGATTGTATGCATTAAATAATTTATTTTCCTAGGGTTAGGGCATTTTGAATTTGGGTGAAATTTGAAATCTCGTAGATTTAGGTTTTCTTTTGGGCTCTAGAGGCGTCTAGAGATTTGGGAGAGATCGATTTTCCTCCCGAATAGAGGATCAATTGTATCTTGTTATTTTCCGTTTCCCTTTCATCAAATAATACAAATTATCTATTGTTTTCGTGGTTTTGTGCTGATTTTTGTGGAGAACTCTCGCTGTTTTCCGAAGATTGATAGGAAATACTTGAGATCTACAAGTGTTTCCTATCAGATCCCTATCCAAGTAAAGACAATCACGGCAAGAACACATAACAGACCCTATGATCCATATAAGCCATACAGCCTAACAAAAAGTCCCTAGTCACTGAATCAAATAATTTAGTTGGAATTTCCATATAATAATGCATCAAACATATAAATGTAAAAAAATCAATGCGCTGTTATTTTATGTCCAACATAATATATTGAATAATCCAATATTTATCCAATTGAGATATAGTTTAATAACAACTCAAAAACATAAGCTGTGAAGGTTCAAATAAAGTTAAGTATGCTTGATGAATGATAAATTAAAAGTAAACAAACATATGAAATAACACAAAGGAAATGAGGTACCACTAGATGTCTACTGATCATATGAACAAGCTTTGTCATAGCACAGGGAACAAATAACCTTGCCAAGAAGGATGAGCTTTTTTCTAGGTTTGTGAAAGAATTGAGTCAAGCGAAGTAATACATCATTTAAGTTTGTTCATTTATTTTTCTATTGAGTTTAAGCCGAGCTTGGACCATGTTCCAAGTTTTAAATTCTAGTTCAAGTTTGTCTATTAATTTTCTTATCAAATTCAAGCTGAAATTGGGTTTTTGTCGAGCCAAACTAATTATATGTTTGATATTAGTAATTTAAACATATAGTATCATTACTAGACATAATTGGGGTTATAAATTTTAATATAAAATTGGCATTCATTTGGTATTATTTAAGTTATTTGATGAAGTTTAAATAATAAGAAAATATTTAAATCTATCTATTTAGCTATTTTTTTGATATGTACATTATACATATTCATCTAATAATATGCATAATTTTTAAAATGTATAAGCTATAGAATTATGATACAATAACATAGAATAAGCCATCAAATAAAAAATTAAGATATCATTAAATAAGCATTTTATCATATTTTTATAAGCTAATTATAAACAATAAATGAGCATATTCACGAATATAAATGAATAAATGAGTTAATGTTCAAACTTATTTTTTAATATGATGAGGTTTTAAAATTTTGTTTATACAAGTTTAATTATGTAAATAAACAAAATTAAATGAGTATCATATGAACGAGTATCGAGTTGTTCATCGAGTGCACTTTTTCGCTTACAACCCTACTCTTTTCGTTATAATTTAGAGTCAAATCTCAACAATGGGATGGAACTTATTTAAATAAAGTATGGTCCTCAAGCTCCCATTAATCTTCTCTGTCAGTGGGAACATTCTTATTTATATTAGTTTTGGTAAGTTATTAAACCTCAATAACATGAGTTAACTTGATTTAATATAAATATTTGTCCAGTTATTCAAGCTCTGATTTTATCATTTCCACTTCAAGCTACTAAGCCTTCTAATATAGAACCCATTCTGGTGTAACTAGAGCATTTTAATACTCAGTAACTTAATTCCCTAAGAAATTATTTTGAAACACCTAAGACTACTGACATCTATAACAGCCTCTCCTATTAAGTTATTGCCCGTTCCTTAAGATGAGTTTCCTTTGTGAGCTAAAAGAGTAATACACTCTTCGTATTGTTCAATTTAAGGGGCATTTCCACGAAGAGCAATTAGTCTTCTCCATCTATCAAATGCTCTAATGTTTTCTCATCTACAAGACCCTTTCCCCTTATATCGATACCTTGAATAATTAGTTTTTTAATTCTTTAATTAACTGGTCGCTTGAAAGTCAAGTCATAAAATCTGTGTAAATGGACTTTGCATATACGTGGATCTTACACTCATTTATTTAAACAATGGACAATTCTCTAAGAAGTCAAATTAATGAATCCGAGGAAGCTCAGTTCTGGTTTTACATCTCCATCAAATAAACCTTAATAACTTTATTTTGAATAACGTCCATCAAATGAATACATGCAAATAGAAGATTTAAGGTCTAACAACGTATATTACATACACCTAATAAGGATTTGGCTTATGAGTTACGGGAGGAATTTGGTTTGTATCTATTAACCATGAAAAATTATTCTGTGCGGACATTGAATGCCGTCCAGAGCCCAATGAAAATGCGCCATGCCACCCCCTATTCGGTACCGTGGCTCGGTACTGCTCAGTAGTGGATGACGTGGCTGCACCTGATTCGCCTCTGGACGATAAGCTGTGTCCGGTGTCCGCATAGAATAATCTCTCATTAACCACACTTGAATGGCTCGTGTCAAAGACGATGATCAACACTATAATCTTGTCACTCCAAAAAAATCTAAAATATCATAATTTTACATAATTTTATGTCCACCAGATCAAGAATCTATAACCGAAAGAATATGTATCCATCATTCTGTTTAAGGACTTAAAAGAAAAGTGCTTATTACCTTCCTAAAGGCGAGGTATTACAACATATACCAGCAGTAAAAGTAAGAACCATAGAACAGTAGAGATACTAACTCTTGAATTATCAGAAAACTCATGCATGGAGTAAATTGTGAGGTAGTTTCATCATCTGGAGCTTCAATATGTTCCTGATTGGATCAATAATTAAGCAGACCATTATCTTTGAAATGGAAAAATTCACTCAAAAGGGTCTTTCCCGTGTTCACCATCTTTCTTAACCTAGTTGTGATCAAATATCAAATTAAGGTTATTATTTCCTTGCTCTGCTACTGAAAATTATGGAAGTTTACAAGGTTACCTATTGTAGAGTTTAGGTGAGTGATCTTCTTTTAACACCTTACAAAAATGGCCTCTATCAATTAGATGCTTATTCTACATACAAATGCTCATCTATTTGTAATGATATGCAAACCACAGTGTAAGAGTGTCAACATTTGAGTTTCTTTATTTTGCAACAAATTTGATCCTTTATTAAGATTTTTTTCTTTAATGCTCGTGTCTATTTGTAATGATATGCAAACCACAATGTCCGAGTTTTTTTCCCTTATAATGCTTATCATAGACTTTAGAATGGTAACTGTTGTTATAATTTTGATTTCATTTGGAATAATTTTCTAATTGCTTTTTAAAATATCTTTTTAGTTAAAATTTTTCGAGTTAAAAAAAATAAAAATAAAAATCTGCTTTATAAAGCAATAAAAAAACTGTCCCAAATGAAGCCTTTATCCGAAAAGTCCTTGTAGAATCTGGCCTAGGAGTATTAGAATTTGAGAGCATTTTAAAATATCTTGCGGTGGCGAGCAATTTTAAATCTCACCTTCTATACCAATGTCATCTGCTCTTTATCATACAAACTTAGTTTTTATGGTGCTCTTATTATCCTGAGTAGAATTCCTCAAACTATGATTCTTTTAGTTGCAATTTCTTCATCATCGAGTTAAAAAAGTCAATAGCAGAACTCCAAAAAGGAAAACATGTTGCTGCAACCCATGCAATGAACATAGATTTTTGCTACTTTGATTGAAATAAAAACCTTTACAAAGTGATTACTTCAATGAAGCCTCTGCTAATGTTTTCCTTAGGCTGTTTAAAATACATTATGTTCAGTTCTATAAAATTTGTGATCGACTTAATCTATATGCATTGCCATTCTCTTGTGCGTTTATTCTGTGTTTTCTTTCTTCTAGGCGGTCCCAAAGCAGCATGTGCTGGATGTGCAGGATTTGCTGCGTTCTCTGTCCTGATTGAGAAGTTCTTTGATCGGCATGATTGAAACATAGTTAGTTAAACTTCTAATATAGGGCCTTTTTTTCTACTTGATAACTTTATTATTCCTTGCAAGAATTCCAATTCTTTTAATTTATTTTGTTCAAGTCTCTCAAATCAAAGCAATTTTGAATTTAGGCGTTTCTATCGCCTTCAATTTTTGTAATTTTCATAAGCCTTGTGATGATCTGTTGTGAATCCAAAATCAATGACATGAGAAATTTCATGTCTTATTTATGCACAAGCTATTAAACTAAAGGCTAAAGCTTTTGTATTGATCGAGATCTCAGGTTGTATTTACAATTTAATTACCCGACTTTACCTCTCTCTAGCACTTGAAACATATAATTTCTTATAGAATATGAATCACAGTGAATCTTCAATAGATTGACGGCAGAAGAGAGCAAAATTTTCATATGTAACGAGTAGATGGGTTAAATAAAACGACGATTACAATGAACATTTACACAGGAAAGCTTCATCATCATTGTTTCCAGATGAACCCACAAAATCCAGGTAAATTATTGATTTTGCTCCTGAACTAATCATGGATAATTGAGATGAGAATGGTCGCCTCTTCAGGATCTGGACCACTATCTGTAACAACAACACAATCAAATGCTTATTACAAAATCAAATTCAAGCAAAATGCAACCCAGTTTAAACCCAGAGAAACAAAAATGCACCTGGTAGAGAAATTATTCCTTCATGCTCTTCGGCTTTCTTCGCTTCAGGTTTGTCCACATCATTATCTCCATGAGTTGATTCTCCTGCAGCAGAAGTGTCTGAAATGCCGGGAATGGCCACCGGCAAATGCGAAATGATCTGCTCTATTATCCCACCACTACTACTACTACTAGACTTCGAGGTACCCTTCTCGTCAGCTTCTTCCACAGTTTTTTCTTCTTCTACCTTCTTATAATCTGATAAAGTGTTCAAGAGCTCATCAACACAATCCTCCATTGCTCATAAAACTTAGTTCTTCTGAAGTTGTGAGGGAGTTTATATTAGGAACAGAGAAGTGGGCTTGTGATGAATCCATGAATGGGCATTGGACGCGTAGCTGCTTCGGGGAGTGTAGCTCGCCAAGCTGTGCATGTGGAGGGCTTCTGAATCTCCACGTGCTCTCGCTGACTCGGTGATTTGTAGTTTTTCTCTATCTCCGCAGGCCGCGATGGAATGAACGTTAGTGATGAATGCTGATTCGATGATTTTTTTTTTGAAAATATAAGATTTTATTTTTCAACTTAATGAGCCAAAGATATCATCATCGTCGTCACACGAATAATATTATTATAATTTTATACTTAGGTAAAATTAGTGAAGGTATCTCGGGGTGAATGGACAAGCTGTTTCTCATGGCTGCAAACAGGTTTTGTTTTTTTATATGTTGCATTATTTAAAAATATTTGATTCGCCTTAAAAAGTATTTCAGCAGGGCAATGGAGTTGGACGGCTGAGATTTGATTCCGTAATTATTTTATTTAATGCTGATTTTGACGAATTGATATTAATTTAAGATATTTTGCACAATTGGTATTGTGGTTTTGTTTGAGATAATTTTCGTATTGCTTTATAAAATAGTTTTTTAGTACAAATGTTTTTTGAAAATTAAAATTTTATACACCAAAGCTACTTTAGAAAGTAATAAGAAAGTTGTTCCAAATAAAAAAAAAATTATTTGGTGCGGATTCCAGACGTAGCTCTATATCCGGACTTCAATAAAATATTGCCACTTGTGGCACAACGAGCTCACTGTTTTTATTTAGCATGTTTTTTCCAACTTATCGTGCGTCCCAATGACCTGAACCGAATTAGACGTAAAAAGCTACTTTTTACTGAGAAGAAAATCGAGGCGATGCAGTGGAAAATTCAAAATTGATCAAGGCGTTTCAATTTCTCTTATTGCATGCGCTCCTCATCTTTGTCTGAAGCTCCTTTCATTTTCTCCAAATTTTTGTTGCAGAAACAAAAGCCATGGTTAAGGCCAGTTTTTTATTATCACGATAAGTTCTTTTTCATGATATATGTTGGTTCTATTAGTTCAACAAATTTCATGTTAGGGTTTAGGTTTAGGGGTTTTCTATCTATACCGGTGTACCAGTGTGCATTGGTGTGTACCGATGGGTACCAGTGTGTTTTGATGTCCATTATTTACTCTTTGAATGAAGAATTTAACATTTCATTTAATTGATGATTTCTTTCATTTTTTCGCTCAAGTGTACCTTCTTGTGTGTTTATGTGTCTCATTGTGTACCCTATGTGTGACAACCGGTTCTTCCGGCCGGTTCAACCGAACCGGCCGGCTCACCCTTTTAATACCGCGGAACAGAACTGTTCGCGCGAACAAAGAAGGGCGGACGGTCGGGACTTCACGCGAGAGCAAGGTAGGATTCATTTTCTTTCAATTTTAGCAAATGATTACCTTCTAGGATAAGAAATAACGATTCATTTTCATTCTTATCGTTATCAGAGTGTTATTTTGGGAGAAATTGAAGAACAAGAGAAACAGACGAGAAGGATTAAGAGAAGAAGATTTGTTGAATTTCTTTCGGATTTTTCCTATAAATTTCTTCTTCTACTTCATTTAAAGTGAACAATTTATTTCTTGAAGGTTAGGGAAGAGATTGTAGCGAAGAAAAAGGAAATTGGGAGAGAAAGGAAATTTCGAGAAGAAGGATTTTGAGAGTTTTGAGAAGTCTCCATTCAAAAGTGTAAGTGAATTCCTTTCAATTTTAATTTTAATGATATTTAGAATTTAAATCAAAATATTATATTGATAGAAGTTATTGTTTGAAATTAGGGTTTTTGAAAGTGAAAGATCAAGTCATAAGTGTTGATCCCGCGAGGATTTAGCAAGAAGAGAAATTGATTCAAGAATAGATCAAGCATCGACGACCTGAAAAGTTCAAAGTGGGTAATTATGATTATGAAATTCAAAATTTAGCATTTTCTTTCAGTACGATAAAAATAGTATGCATTACAATATTACTTTCAAGGTTGTATCTTAAAGATTACGACATATGAAGAGTTGAAGGATTAAATACCTAATGATTGTAAGTATTATTCTAATAAGAAACAAATGAATTGAATAATGAAAAGAAAATACCGTATGTATTAAAGAAATATTGAAAAGAAACGACATATGAAATATAATGAAAAGGTT